CCCGGGACGGCAGCGCGTTCAGCAAAATCAGTAGAAGACCCTAGAAACGCCCGGGAGTGGGGAGATGGGACACAGCTTGCAGGGACTGCAAAGAGGGAAGGAGCTAAGGGCAGGGGCATTGCTCCTGTCAGTTCTAGTGTCACCCCCTGAGCTGCTCAAGCCTGGGGAGGTGGGCTGGAAGGGCACACCAGCCCTCCCCAAGGACCTGTTATTGGTGACGTGGGGTGCACGGGTCAGCACACCGCCCGAGGGGAGCCTCTGCTATCCCTCTGCCACCCACCACTCCCATGGCCCCCCCCCAACTTTCCCTTCGCTTGGCCCACAGCGCTGGTGCTCTCCCACCACCCCTCGTCCTCCCCGTGCCCCAGCTCTCCCTGCCCTGCGCCTTTCTCAGGGTCTCCTGCCCTCTCTCCTTCCCACAAGGAATAAATCACCCTCTGGCTCCAGCCTTGGCTCTCAGAGGAAACAGCAGCCCGTGTTGCCACCTCCTTCCCACGGGACCTGGCTGCCTCCGGGATGCTGAGAATCTTTTCCCAGACCAGAGTGGGTTCATTCGGGAAAGCTGTCGGGGACCGGTCGCTCTGGACCCTCTGGACTCCTGGGGACCGATGTCCCCCCTCCACCCTGCGCCCCTCCATGCTCCCACCCTGACACCTTGCCCATGAGATGAGTCCTGAGAATGGACTTTCAAGGGAGAGGGAGAGTGGGTTTGGGTCCTTGACTGTATTAAAAAGCCCCAAAATGAGCCATATTTCCACCACAGGTAAAGGCTGCAGACATGCAGCAGGGAGCTCTGAGCATCAGGATGGAGATCCAGGTTCTCCAGCCACCTTCGCTTGGTCCCCGTGGCCAGGTTAACACCGGCATCACTGAAAAACCCAGTAAACAGTCAGAAAAACGTTCTTTGTTCAATCCCCTGTGGTGGAAAGTAGTAACACTTGGCCTGCAAATCTTCTTGGCCTCCAAGGAGAAGATTTCCTTTGAGGGCCAGGGGGAAAAATCAATCTAGCAGGCTGCACTTCCCACTCGGAGAGCTCTGGAGAGACGAGCCCAGCCCCAGCCTGCTCCCCGGTGGCATCAGGGAGGGCGCAGAGCCCAGCCGGAGCCCGGCTCTCCTCCTCCTCCATCCCTTGGCACCGGCCCATCAGGAAAGAGGGTTTTGTTGATGGCCCCGGCACATTAGGAAATGAAACAGGCTGTGCCCAGAAGCTTCCCCAGGGGTCCATTAGTACCTGTGGATCCTTCCTCCAGCCCAGCGTGTCCCAGAGGATGCTTTTGCTGGCGATTTCCTCTCCCGGCGCAGGGGGAATTGTCTGGGGCAGGGTGCCAGCAGGGCTGGTGCATGGGGGGAGGAAAGGGTGACCTGCTGCTCTGGGTGTAGGGTGCTCAGATGTAAGGTGGGCTGCCGGAGTGACATGAATCCCGCCCCCAGATATGAGGGTTGAACATATAGACACACTCCAGGTTGCTAATGCATTTCGCGGCTTGGCATCAACCCCCAGAGCTCCAGGATCGTGTCTGAGGTCTCTGCCCATCCCTGAGGCCGGGGGTGGTGGGTGGGAGACAGGGTGAGGTTCCCCAGGGCATGTGCAGAGAAACCAGCCCGTTAACACATCTATCAGGGCAAGCTGTTTCCAATTGCCAAGGAAGGGAGTGAGGAGCATCATGCCATCTCAGCATGGGCACTGCCAACCCACGTGGAGCAATCTTAACCCCCAGGCAGAGCGTCGCGCTTGTGTTTAATTCTTTCCTGCGGTTGTTGTCTCTTCCACAGGTATAAGAGCATGGTGACAACCCGGCGGGCAGCAGTGGCCATCGCTTGCTGTTGGATCATCTCCTTTCTGGTGGGACTCACCCCTATGTTTGGCTGGAACAACCTGAACAAGATGCGGAGGACTCAGGAGCTGAACGCCAGCCACACGGAGTTTGTCATCAAGTGCCAGTTTGAGACGGTCATCAGCATGGAGTACATGGTGTACTTCAACTTCTTCGTTTGGGTCCTGCCTCCCCTGTTGCTGATGCTGCTCATCTACCTGGAAGTCTTCAACCTCATCCGCAAGCAACTCAACAAGAAGGTCTCCTCCAGTTCCAACGACCCCCAGAAGTATTATGGGAAGGAGCTGAAGATCGCCAAGTCGTTAGCACTGGTCCTCTTCCTCTTTGCGCTCAGCTGGCTCCCTCTGCACGTCCTCAACTGCATCACCTTGTTCTGCCCATCCTGCGAGACGCCGCACATCCTCACCTACATCGCCATCTTCCTCACCCACGGCAACTCGGCCATGAACCCCATCGTCTACGCCTTCAGGATCAAGAAGTTCCGGACAGCCTTCCTGCAGATCTGGAACCAGTACTTCTGCTGCAAAACCAACAAAAACGCCAGCACCACCACGGCCGAGCTGGGCAACTAAGAGCTGGGAGAAAGCAGAGAGGGGTCCTCCGTGCCCAACCCGGTCCCCATCTGACCGCTGTTCCTGCTGTCAGGGGAAGGGGTCGTGAGGATCCGGGAGGGCTGGGTTCACCAGCCCTGTGCAATCCGAACAGCCGTGTCCCCCAGCTGCCCCAGGGGTTTATTTATTCACAAGCATTGTACTGTTTTGAAATTGTAGCCTGCACTGTTCCTTTCCTTTTTTTTTTTTTCTGTTTGTTTTTGTTTTTCATTTTTTTAAGGGTTGCCAAGTATTTAAGGAGAAATTGTACAGACAAAGGCGCAGTTTATCTTCATGCAAATAAAGTAAAACCACACAGGAGGTCCTCTGCCATTGATGGAGACCTCTGGCTCCTTGGAGCGCGGCAGTCGGTGATGCTGGGGGCACCTCACGCTCTGGCCCCCCCCATCCATGGACCCATGGGGGTACCTGGGCACTGGGGCAAAGGTGTGCCCTGGTGGGACTGAAGCTGCTGAGAACCAGCAGAGCCCAGGGCAATGTGATTTCTGCAGCTCTGAAGCTGGGAGCTTTCAAGCCCTTTCTTTTCCCTCCATAACCAGGGAAGGGTGAGCTGGGCTGAGACACGGGAAGAGATAGGAAAAGGCATCCCATGGCAATGCCAGCACCCATGGGGTGATGCATCCACCATCCCCACAGAGCAAAGGGTCAGTCTCCAACTCTCAATGCTACCAGAGAGGTAGGTAGAGGGGAAAGGAAACCCTTAAGCATAACCCCAGGATATTGCACAAGAAGTACCCTTTGCTGCCCCAATGGCTCCCCATGGACCCCAGCAGCACCCACAACCCCTGCGAGCTGTACCCAGGGAGCTGTGTCCCCTCCATGTGTCTTCTCTCTCTTTTTACTTTGGCTTTGAGTCGTTTTTCCCTCTTTTCTCCTGCCTGTCTTCTGTGCAAGGCAGTAGCAAGTCTCTCCCAGCCCCTGTTTGTCTCATCTCTCTCCACGTTGCTCCCTGCCACCCTCCCTGTGCAGCAAAACCCTTTTGACCCAAACTTTGTGGGTTAGTGCAGCCACCTCCATGGCCCAGAAGAGCAGAGAAGCACCTGCGCCCATTTCGGGGCAAGTGAGGGACGGCTGCGGGCCACCGTGTTGGTGTTGACGCTGCCACAGGGTCATTTTCCCACCCCCGTATGTCTGCCTCAGGTTTAGCTGTGGGCAGGGTGGGCTGTTGGTCACATTTGAGGAGGGGGTGGCTGGAGATGGACCATCACCCCCACCCAGCTCTGTGGCCCCTATAGATGCTGGCAGCCACACTGACATTCCCTGCTCTGCAGCAGGGTCTCTTCCAGGGCTGAAGAGGTGGTGGGATGAGTTAATTGGGATTCTTTTCTTATCAGCATCCCTTGTTCACCAGTCTCCCCTTGGAAACACACTTCCTATGACCCTTCCCCTGCCCCAGGAGTGTCGTGCCCCTCAGACGTCACCAACGGGCAAAGTGACTGCAGCAAGTTCCCGCAGGGGCTCTGAAAGGGTGCAGAGAGGAAAAGGACTTTGGATGGATGAGATTTATGGGTGGCTCATTAGTTGGTTATGGAGAGCAATGCTGTGGACATGTAGCATGGGCAACGGGGCTGCTGGGTGTCCCCTTCGCCCACTGCTGCAGCCAGCTCTCTTTAGCCTGGGGGGAGTTCCTCCATTTCTCTGAGAGGAAGAGGAGGGCAGCAAAGAAGAGAGGAGATGAGGTGCTCAGCCTCCCACATTTTGCAAGGGCCTCAATATATCATACCCAGGCTCCTGGCTCGGATCACACTGGGCAAAACGGGAGCGGAGCAAAAGAGCAATCGCAAGGACAGGAGCAAATCCTTCCCTTGGGCCTCATCGCAACGGAGGGGCCCCGAACACCATCCCAGCCTCCTCGAGGTGAAGAATCCAAAATCCTTTATCAGTAGTGCCTGAGGATGCTGCAGCCCCAGGCTAGTGCAGAGAGGACCCCCCTTACCCCGTGCCCACGGTCCCTCTGCACAGCAGTAGCTTGGCCTCGGATTAGGGCTGCTGTTTACCGAGCACAGGTCTGATTCCCACATGCATCTTATTTCTGCAAGAGGCTGTTTTCCTGGAACTGATGCCTTTGCCTGATCCTTGCTAAGGTGCCCAGAAACCTGACGACTGGGATGCTCATAAATTAAAAGGCATGTGAATGATTGCTTTCAGAAAAAACATCTAGTGGATTTTTCCACTCCGTGCTCTCCGGACCTTTCCCGGGGACAGCTCACTAAAAGTGGATGCTGTTACCCACCCCGGTCCCCTGTGGGGTTACAAACACAGTCTTTGCCATGTAGGACTGCCTTAACAGTCTGGAAAGGGCACAGTGTGCAGCATGACAGTCTTGGAGATGCTGCTTCTCCCCTGTGTTAGCAAACCCCCGGCTAACACAGCCCGCTCCCAGCCCCTGTCCCCCAAGACTCCCACTGGCCAAAGCCACATGCCGAGATGTCAGGGACATCAAGGGGGCCAGGACATCCCCATCAGTGTCCAAGGCCAGGGGAAGACCTGCTCTCAACCTGCCAGCTGGACTGCAACCTCCACCCCGCTGGCATCATCGCTAACCCCAACCACCTCAATTATCGAGCCTGACCATCGGCTGACCATCGGCTGGGATAAAAATTAATCCGACAATGCCCTCTGATGGTGGAAACAATGTCTGGTGTGGACAGTGCTGAGCCCCTGGTAACAGCAAGACCCCCATGGACTTCAGCTTGGGCCTGGAGAGTAGGTGACTGGGGGCAGACGGGGACAAAGCAGAGGGGCTGCAGGAGAGACGCTGCAGAGAGGGGTCAGCTATTTTAGCCATAGGCACTGCCTGGCTTCACTCTCCAGTGGCACTAAGGGCAGGCTGGGCTCAGATCTGCAGATGCCCAGGCTGGATTTGCACCCACGTTTGCAGTGCCAGGGGCTGCCGGGATATGCCTTTCTCGGGGCAGGATCTGGGTCTGGCCCCATGACCGAGCTGGCACGCGGCTGGGAGAGCTCCTGCCCTCACCCACGTGCCGGACCCGTCAGCCCGAGAGGGAGGTTGTGCTGGCGGAGGAGGTACACCGCGCTGCTGACCCCTGGTTAACGATGCGCTTAGTCAACCTGATGGATCTGTCCGGGCTCTCTGTTAATAAACAGCTTCTGACCCGAGGTGTCTCAGAGCTGTAAGTAACAAGTCATCGTTCTGCACATGAGCTATCGGTTGCTAATGAGGCCGATTCCTCCTCCTCCAGCTAACACATCGGCATGTCCTGACCCCTCTCATGCCATGGGGAGGGGATGCTGGTGGCCGGATCGTTGCATCACTGGCACGGATAAAGAAATTGTGCTTTGATGAAGAAGCATCAGCATGCCACAGTTTTGGTGTTGCTATTTCCTTCCCCCCCAATCCCCGCCAGAATCATTCTCCAGAAGGAAACTTTTCCCCATCCTCCTCCTCCTCCTCCTTGTTGGGTTGTGTCCACTTCAGTCATCTTCATATGTGTTTTATAAAGCTGGTCCTTTCTTTCCAAGCTTAAAAACCATCTCCTCCACCCATGATTCGGTGGGATGTTACATGAACGTAGCATCCCTGGCGGCTCTCTCCCCTCTACCTCCCCCCACCCAAGCCAACCCCACAACAAGCAGGACGGAGTGGTTTGGTTTTCTTTTATTAGGACCAAAGCCCCTCAGATGGGCTTGTTTTATTGTCACAGCTAAGGACACACTCGGAGAGGACCATGCCATGGCAGGCTGAGGTGCAGGCCCCCCCCAGAGCACTGCCAGGGAGGGAACAGGCCAGCAAGGCCATGGCCAGGAGCATCACCATGTGCCACGCTACCGCACAGCAGCTGCAGCATCCACCCGGGGTAAAGGAACGAGAGGTGAGCCCTGTGAGGGGCCAAGAGACCAGTGGTCAGGGATGAGATGGGAAACCACGTCACAGCCACCGTCCTCATGAAAGACAAACACAGCCCAGCTCTTCCACCCTCTCCTGCCCCACAAAATTCAGGTGCAACCCTTTGACTCTGCTTTTCCACCCCGCAGCCCCATTTCACACCCCTTTATACCTGCCCCCAGCCCCAGTGCCTGCCCCTCCTGTGCATGCAACCCCTGGTGCCCCAGGTCTCTGAGCCCTGCCTGCAAACTGGGGCTTTGCCCGCCGTGCTGCCCATGCATCTGCCAGGCACACCAGTCTCCACATGCATCCTCATCCTCCTGGCCACATTTACAGCCCTCCCTCCATCTTGCAAAGGGACAGGTTTCTCTCAGGCTCTGAAGCATCCCACCCACCAGTGCATCTCCAGCCATGGGAGGAGGAAGACCAGAGCTGGGGCTCCATCAGCCGGTGACAAGGGCTAATCCAGGACACTCAACCCACTCCATCCCCGATGAAGTGATCCACCCTCCCTTCATCCCACAGCCCCAGCCCAGACCTACCTTGCTCTTCATCTTGCCCTCCGATCTGTCCTCACTGGGGCACTGCAGGAGAGCACAGGAGATATAAACCCCTTGAACTCCTCTTGTCTTAATCCCCTTTTGACTTCCAAAAGTGATCCAGGGCATAACCAACCCTCTCATGTTCGCACACCAACACGCACCTGCGCACACATGCTCCAAGCAATCACACACCCCGCCATCGCTGCCTGTTCCTGGCCAGCTTGCTCCCAAGATCCCAGCCTGGGTGACTCCCAGGTGCTTTGTGTCCCCAGCACAATGACAAGCTCATCCTCCTGGCTGACTTCACCGTGCTGCCTGCACGG